TTCCTGGGACCATTCTACGTTCGTCCGCACCTACGCTCTTTATCTGGATCGACGCCTGGGATGGATGGGTTACGAAACGAAGCGAGGCGGTGGTAACCAGAGATCTCCGCTGCCAGATCCATATGCCTACGGAAATTATGTGAGCTCCTCATACTCATCTTCTCCGGGTAATGGCAATGGCGAGTACAGAGGAAGGCGGACACCGCTGAAGGGCATGAAGCCAGAGAGTGTTCTGGGGAGGATGCACGAGTTGCTGAACGTGCTCGATAGCTTCCTCGGCTGCCGCCCCAGAGGCAATGCACAGCACAGCAGGATTATCCTCGTTGCGCTCTATCCTCTCCTCAGTGAGAGCTTCCAGCTATATGCTGACATAGCCGATGTATTAGCCATCCTTCTCGACGGCTTCTTTGACATGGACTACCATGACTGCGTCAAGTCGTTCGAGGCCTATGCTCGTGCCGCCAAGCTGATCGATGAACTTTGTGTCTTCTATGCCTGGTCCAAGGACACAGGAGTAGCCAGGTCGTCGGAGTACCCAGAGGTGGAGCGCATCACCGACAAGCTTCTGGAGTTACTGGAAGAGTTCACGAGGAACAGAGCGACGAGGACGAGGAGCCCCCCTAGAGTGGCCCTCCCTGCTGCGCCCACGGAGACCAGGGACGAAGAACCCGAAGAAACCATGAACAGCATAAAAGCTCTTCCAGCGCCTCCCGATTACGAGGAAGAGGCGCCGGAGCCAGCAAAGGTCGCAGCGGAACCTGTCGAACAGCAAGGCGACCTGGTGGATCTAAGAGATGATAGCGCGGCCGCTGTGGACAATCTCGAACTGGCTCTTTTCCAGGCCCCGGTGGCAGCTAATGGCTCCGATGGTTCCTGGGAAGCATTCCCATCATCCGATGGCGAGACAGGAGTGACCTCCGCGTGGCAAAACCCTGCAGCCGAAAGAGGGAAAGCAGACTGGGAGATGATGCTCGTGGAGACAGCCAGCAATCTCTCGAAGCAGAAGGCAACATTAGGCGGAGGCTTCCATCCATTGCTACTGAACGGCATGTACGATCAAGGGGCGGTGAGGCAACACGTAAACGCCCAGGCAAGTGGAGGGAGCGCGAGCAGTATGGCCTTGCCTGGGCCTGGACGAGGCGGCGCCCCTCCCGTGCTCGCCCTTCCTGCACCTGATGGCACCGTGAAGACCATTGGGCAGGACCCATTCGCGGCGTCGCTTAGCATCCCTCCGCCTCCCTTCGTGCAGATAGCAGACGCGGAGAAGAAACGGCAGCTGCTGCTACAGGAGCAGGTCATGTGGCAGCAGTATGCCGGGGATGGGATGCAGGGCCAGGCCGGCTTAGCTAACAAGCCCAACAGCAACTTCGTGCCCAACCCCGCAATGCCATACGGGATGCCATCAGCTTTTGATGGTACTGCAGGTGGATACTATTACCCGACCCACTGAATTCTGTTCCCCGCTTTCTCTTTTTCTTGGACCAGCCAACCACCATTTGTATCAGTGTCCTGAGGTTTGTGAGTGACTAGCTTATGATGGTATGTTTTCCGCCATCTCTCCTTTAATCGAGAAAGGTTGTTAACAGATCAATTCGCCGCTTAACAGAGCCAGTGCTTGCAGGAGGCCATATACGTGCATTTCTTTCGAGTCCTCCATATGGCATTTATCCCATTGCCTGCTAAGAACCTCATCAGGTCTTTTGTGTGTCTGCGTGTCTCCGTAAAACACTTTGATCAGGTCAGGGGGAAGTTGTGTGGTCTGGTGAAACACCAAGTACATTGGGCACAACCAATCCATCCACATCCTTCTGTAGCATGCGCAGTGCAACTGTGGGAAGCCATCGGCAATCAAAGTTGAGTTGTGGGTTGCTAAACAGAAGGCCTACTCTTTCAGTGATCTCACTGGGTTCCATGGCTGGTGGCAGTAGCTTTTATGTGCAGATGGCTGCTCTGTTGTATGAGTACTAAAATGCCACCTTCATGGAATCAAGTAACTGTTATGCACAGTCCAAAATCTTTGATTATTTTGATGGTAGGTAGACAGGTAGGTTGGAATAGTCGTGAGAGACAAAGATTGAAAGAGACTAAGATAGTCTCTCACATTATCATCTTCTGAATGAGTCAAACGAGATGGATACATAGGTTTGATCCACAATCTAACAAACTTAAGTTTTAAGATATTATATATTATTAGACTAATCAAACTTAGGCATCATTTTTAAAATCTCAACAACTTTATAGTTCACAATAAAATAAGAACTTAAGATAATATATTGATAAGGGATAATTTGATCGGAAAATTATCCGTTTTGGACGATGAGTTTACTCGTACGATTTTATTCTTTTGGAACATATGAGCTCCAAAAGGTATGATTCTCGTACTACTCAATCAATGTGAGACTAAATGATCTATGAACATATATTTTATTATTTTAAAATATTTTTGTAATTTAAATATTAAAGAAAACTCATCCAACGTAGCTCATATAAGCTTAACACACGAGCTGACCATCAAATTTGATGGGTTAAAGAAAAGCACAAAAATCAAAGATTATTATTGCTTCGGTGTCGTCTGTTTCTCTTAGGAATGGTCCGCTCACGTTGAAGCGAGGAACCATTAGAAGAGGGCAGAAGCGAAGGGGTGGGGTTTTCTTGGCGAAAGCGTACCGGTGACAAAGGAGGCACTACCTTCCACGAGCAAAAGGAAGAGGAAGGGTGGGGGCGGCCAACGCCATTATTGATGGCACACACACACCACTTGCCACCAGAGAGGAACAAAACTTGTTGTCAGCCGTAGCAGGCAAGCGACGAGCAGCTTACGGAGGAATCTAATCATATCACGAAGCTTTTTAGACTTCAGCGACTCTTCATTGTCGAACAGGGCAACATGAAGGACGGCTCACTGTTCACAGTGGGCCTTCCTGCACATGATGAGGAATCGAATTCAATGCCTCGCTACTTTCCAATGAAATTATTGATCCATTGCTCAAAATAATTGGTCCTCATTAATAGTAGTTTCTCCAAAGACATTATATAATCCCTCCATCAGACGGACCAACATAAACTCTTTTTCCCATTTAGATAATTCGATCCTTCAACACTCCATTCACATCACTACGGACAGACCTCTCGCAGCCTCTGCAAGCCTTCCCTCAAAGTTCAGAAATGGCAGGCTTTTTTATTTTGTTTTTACTAATTGTTTTTTATTTAATACCACAAAGATAATTAAAAGTTCTATATGGCTAACGGACTAGTAAATTTAAATATTAATTTTAACTTTTTAATTTTCTTCGATGCGTAAGCAACACCTAAATAAAAACTTGGAATCACTTATTATCTAAAACCGTCGATAGGATATCACGTCACTTGTCATGACTTTCCGAAATGAGTTTACAAGATCCACTCCTCATCGATCTTGCAATCGAAAAAATATACCTGGCTCTACATTAATGGTTGACGACATTACATAACTTCACTAGCCTTTCCTTTCGGACGAATAACAAGGGGACTGTGCTCTGCTTGACTCTAAAAAAACAGAAAAATCAGACCGAAGGTGTCATCTCGATAGTCTTCATACGTTGCCCCTTGGAGCACACGTCGATAAGTCGCCCACATTAAATATCTCCATCACGCAGGATAAGGGGGTCTCGATGGAGGCTTATCCGCTCCACCTAACCCTAAAGTATAAAAGTCAGCCCAAAGCTAAGCCAAGACAAGCAAACAAAAATATACTTTTTACTCTATTGATTACACAACCGATACTATTATCTTTCTCCTTCCTTTGTTTTTTTTTTACTTAAGCATCAAATGGGTTGAGCCGGATAGTCATGACATAAGCTTGTTATGTATGGTCATCGATGTAGCTCGGAGGCATGGCCAAGAGGCTACCCATTAGAAGGGATCACTCATTTCTCAAATCAAGTTTCATTACTTGAAGATTGGATCGCTCCTAGTGAACCGCCTATCCCTACATATTCCTTCGTTCTACCGATAACACCGTCTCTCCATAGAAGGGATCTACATTTTTAATTAAGAATCAATCGAGCTGACTCATCCGTCCGTCGCCGACGATGATGCTAAACGAATGACTATAATATTCTAATTATTAGGTGATTGATAGGCATCTATCGAATGGATCTAAGTCAACGTTATCGTCTTCTGAACTCTTCAATCCAACAAGATAAAATTGACGAGTTAAGCTTTTGGTGGGTGTGACTGTAGGCGACAAGAACAGCATCGAAAAAGAAAAAAGGACGCGAGGTGCTATGCAGGGGCAGATCATCTTCCCCACAATAATGTGGACCAAAAGCTGAGTGGCATTTTCTATGAATCTCGAGAAAAGAACAGGAAAAAGTGGAATAGCATGTTGGAATTAATAAGAAATATGAACCTAATTTGGATTACTATATGTACTAATGATAAAGGATATGATCGTTGAATAGATGTATCATATTAATACGATACCACTCATTACAAGTATCGATATGGTCTTCGGATGAAGTGATGTGTTGGTGGCTTGAGTCTCAGATCGTGTCACACACCATCATCCGCTGTCTCTCGACGTATGAGATCGAGACAAGTCCTCTCTCAGGCTGTGTTGCGGAGGATGCTGAACCTATCGGATGATGTATGATACAGTTGTGTGGATAGCTCAGGTCGGAGGCTTCACTGTGCCGGATCGCTTCCATCACGCTCGATCGTCCATGGATAATTGCGGTGCCCATTTCTTCTTTTCCGGAGTGCAGACAGTACTGTGTCGTGAAGAGGAAGTCTCTCTCATCAATTCATGTCGACCACGCCATCTGCCATCTCCAACTGCAGAAACCGGAGAAAGAGAGAGGGGTTCGCGTGGGGTGAGACGGGAATAGAGTTACGTGGGAGACGACGATTGCATGCAGGTTTGGTGGGACCGACGCGCGCGGCGGGGACATCGAGGGCCACTTGATTTCGACACGTGAACGGTGGATGTCTCGTTTTCCCACTATAAATCAGATGCGGTGGTGCCGCTCCCATCACAGGCTGTCGAGAGGGGTTTGCTTTGTTTGGGGAGAAGAAGGTAGAAGAAGAAGAAGAAGGATGTCTTGCTGCGGAGGCAACTGCGGATGTGGGTCGAGCTGCCAGTGCGGCAGCGGCTGCGGAGGGTAACGAAACACCAGCAGTTAACACCATCTCATAAAATATTTCTAACATTTGAGAATTTTCTTCTTCTTCTTCTTCTTCTTCTTCTGATTTTGGTAGGAAGATCTGTTTGCCTTCTATTTTGTTTCCTCGGAATCAAATTCCTAATATATGTGTTTGTGAATCGTGGATGACAGATGCAAGATGTACCCTGACTTGTTGACCGAGAGGGATACCACCGCCCAAACCATGGTTATGGGGGTTGTTCCTCAGAAAGGGTCTGTTCCTAACTCTGAAAACGTTGATCTTTGACATGATTACTGTACGAGTGATGGACAACATTGTTTGGGGTTGGTTGCAGGAACTTTGAGGAGTTGGACATGGCAGCTGAAGGGTCCGAGAATGGCTGCAAGTGCGGATCCAACTGCACCTGCGATCCCTGCAACTGCAAATGAGGGAGATGATCAGAGTTTGAAGAGGGAGAGGAGCAGCATCGGTGGTGGTGTTGTGGGGTTAGTGACTTGTGTTTGGACTTGGTGATGGAAATAAAAGGCCATGGCTTACTGTCTCAACCCTCTTCCCTCGGAGGATGTTGTTCTCGTCACCATGGCTGAGAGAGAGAACAGACCTCTCCCTCTCTCTCTCTCTCTCTCTCTTGCTTCTATCTTGTTGTCTGTGGTTTGTGTGCGTCTGCTGTTAGTTTCGAGTGTTGTGTGTCGTTTAGTACTTGAAAAAGAAGCAAGTTTTCTTCCTGTGATGCATATCGCTTTCCTGTTCTGAGCTTGTGATTTTAGAGAAGTGGATTGATTATGCAGATAAACAAGAAGATCAATATTTTTGGTATAAAAAAATGTTGATAAAATTTGAATGTTTATTTATTAAATTCTTGCCAAATAAATCAAAAAAGATCATTGAATCTTTAATCCTCGACAAATAAATCAAAAAGTGTATCTTTGTCAGGTCATTAACTCCTCAGATATAAAAATAAATTCAGATCAATATTCCCAATAAGTTTGTCAAATGGGAGAAACCGGAAGAGATGGAGAGAAGGGAAATGAGGTTCAACATATCATTTTGCACAATTTCCAATGTAAAATATAAATTGATAATCTGATTCACTTTCAGGTCTTATAATTTTCTAAAGAAACATTATTGATAAAAGGATTTACACCGTTACCTTTAAAAACAACAAGACATCATCACTACCTTCCTCAATTCAATTCTGGAACAGTAATGGTGTCTCTTTGAAAAATTGATGGTTCGCTTTATTCTGAAACACAGAAGGTCCACATAAAAGCTGACAAGCAAAAGATTGATAGATGGATGCCTACAGTTGCTCAAATAAATTAATTATATGATCACAAGTGGATGAGCAAGTAGTAAGTAAGATCTCTTGAGCTACAGGCTACAAAACAAGCAGAGGTATAACATCACTGAGGGGCCAGCAATACCAAATAGCTGAGAGCAGAAGATGCGCAAGAACCTGCACATTATAAATGATACATCTCCAGATCAACATCGTAAGCCCCTAAATGGTGACAGGGTAGTGTATCTCCAGTGAGAAAGGGAATGACAACCACACCTGTTATCGCTTGACCCATTGAAAGCTCTTCCTGGCTTTGGCCTTTCCAGGCTTCTTCCGTTCGACTACACGTGGGTCTCGCGTCAAATAGCCAGCTAGATGAAGCACACAAGCCATGTCAACAGTTGGATAATAAGTACCACACTATATGCCACACTACTCGAATCTAAACACGGGCGATGAAGGTAGGTCGGTTACTAAATCCAAGAGGGGGTTCATGAGAAGCACAATGAGGATGAGGTTACACTGCAATGCTAGGATTTAAAATGGATTGTTAAATTTTATCACAGTATATCTTAATAACTAATTTGGTAAGAGTATTTACCAGCTTTTAGGAAAGGCCGGAGCCCTGGTTCCCAGTTTTGCAAGGCTCTGCTGATTCCCAAGCGAATGGCACCAACTTGACCTGCAATAGCGAAGAGGTTCGTTGCATCAGTCCCATAGCTAAAAACAAGAAAAGATAGCCTCTCTAAATCTACAAAGGTAATTTTTGTCTTTCAGTTCGTCAACTAAGAAAAACAGAATTTATAACAATGCTTGTGTATGTCTTACGACACATGTACTTGTCAGTGATTTAAAAAACGCTAGGCACCAAGGTCCCAAAATGGCTAAGGCACTTGGCGCTCACCGAGCAAAACGAAATGCTCTAAAATATTAAAATATTAAAATATATAAAATAATAAAAAATATTTAAATAAAATATGATATTAAATTAAAAATATACTGTTAACAGTATATTATTTACTATTAACAATAGTTAGAGGGGAGAAAAAAATGTTAACAATAACAGAGGATCAGTTTAAAATTGTTGCAACAGCGACAACGGTAGAAGTTGCGGACAACAGCAGTGATAGCGGCGAAAGTTGCGAATAGCAACAGCGCCAATGGAGGAAGTTACGGACATCGGCAACGAAAGCTGCGGACAGCAACAGCAACAACGACAAAAGCTTCAGAGGGTGTCCGTCAGTGGCGAAGGAATTTGCGATCCACTCCCTCGACAGTGGAAGGAACTGCACACAGAGCAACAGCGGAAGGAAGCTACGGGGGGCGTCGGACTCGCCAGTCGACGACAAAGGAAGGTTTGGTCCTTTGCATTAGTGGCGGAGGCAACGACAAAAAGTGTCGATGACAAAGGCAGAAGCAACACTAGGGTTCCTCGGGGTCGTGCGAGAGTGAAGGGTGGCTTGAGGTAAGAAACTATATTATTTAACCAAACCAGACTTAAAAGTCTGGTTCGGTTTGCTTAATTAAACCGGGCGATTGCCCGAAGCACCCGGTGCCTAGTCTGGAGCGAGCGCCCAGGCGACGCCTCTTTGAAGCGCGCAACCTGGCCCTTAAACGAGGGGCTTGAGCCTCGTCTCGTCTTGCCCGAGACCTAGGCGAGCGCTCAAGCACCTTTTTAAATCACTGTTATTTTCTACTTAAAATTGGATCGTTCATCTACAATAATTCTCAAAACAAAGATAATTTTGTAGTCATAAAGCTTACCAGAAACTCCACCCCCTTGGACGGTGCAATTTACATCCCAGAGACCAAGAGTTTTTGTCACAATGAAAGGCTGAAGAAGTTGTACTCGATGATCAAGAATTGAGAAGTAAGCATCGAACTGCTTTTCATTGACGATGAACTTGCCGTCACCAGGTTGAATCCATACACGAGCTATGCTACATTTTCGTCTTCCTGTTCCATAAGCTCTCCCCTTCTCATCCACCACTCTAACCCGAGCTTTTGCTACTTCCTCCTGTTTCTTCCGCTCAATTTCAACTCTTGTTGATGTCTCATTCAATCTTGCAATAGCTTTGTCTTCAATTTCTGTCAGGGGAGGCAAACCCTTGACACCGCTTACATCCTTCAAGAGAATCAAACTGTCAATCATATCATCCGTGATTCCTGATGCTGCAATGAGATCTCCAAATGCCCGATTTGGACCTGCCATTTTAAACATTGAGCCCTAAGCAGTTTGCATTGCTGTGTACTAAGGAGAAACACAAGATGCAAGCAATCAGAGTCTCTTTAACATGAATGGAGCTTCTTATCTATTCATTGGTCCTACTCTGAAAGTACCAACATACAATACAACAGAACCCAAACATCTTCAACTATCTAACAGTTATCCTGTACTATCTTCAGGATATTTAAATTAAAAGAAAGAAGTAAAATAACAAGATATGAAATTGGACTACCAAAAAAGTTCTGCTAGATAACCAAAAGAACAAAGATGACAAAGAAGCACGATCACCAAAACAGAAGAGTAAAATCTCTCAGAGAAAACTAGTATCAAGAACATCCACCACTCTAAAGAAAAAAGGGCTAAAACGAGCTAAAAACAAGATAGATTATGTTTTCCTCGGATGTCATTTTAATTCTCACAACATTGCCACATTATTTCACAAGAAGAAAGAGCAAAGAAAACAACAAAAGATACTAAGAAGCAATGTTCTATGATGAAATAAACATATATTATTTCTCATTTTAATTCTCATAATCTTATCATATTTACTTCACAAGAAGAAAGAACACCAATAACACCAAAAGAAGGTAAGAAACAGCATTCCATGATGAAATAGAAATATATCACTCCACAAGAAGAAATAGTGAAAAGACAACAACAATAGAAACTAAGAAGCAACATTATGTGATGAGATAAACATACAATTCCTTCACACAGGTATTAGGTTTAAATCAATAATCTTACTTCAATGGATTTACATGTAACCATAGAACAAAGATGTTTAACACAAAATATATTTTGAGTCCTCTCTCTCTCTCTCTCGTGTACACATTAGAAAGATGGCAAAGCCTGTGTCTCAGATTATTCATGCTTTTTTCATATTTATATGTTGTAGGAGCAAGACAACTTGACATTAGTTGTTGTTGAATAGAGACTGCTACTTGCCATATGTCATTCATGCCACTTGCTACAGGAACAAGACATTTTGAGAACCAAAACAATTGGAATGGGAGACGATACAGCAAGAAAGTTCATCATCAAACCAACAATAAACATGACCAGTCATTTGTGAGAAACCTAAAGAAAGAAGCAGTTTCTTTCCCAAACATATATCAGCACAGGTGACAGTACAAGACAACAAACAACTAGGATAAGCTTCAAATTATTGAAGAGACAAGCTAAAACCTTTTCAATAAATATTGCAACATAGAAAATTCCAGATCAATGATAATTACAAATCAGCTTGCAGAAAATGGGTACATACATAAGCATTGACTGTTGAGATTAACATCAATCGGGTAACATTAAACAAGAAGATCCTTTCTTGAGATGTGTTCTGTGATTCTTACCTTTCAAAGCAGCTAAAAGTTCTTCCTCTTTCTTCTCCAGCTGCTTCTGCTCATCAGCCCTTGCCTTATCCAAATCCTCGACACCACCGCCATCGATCCCCTCAATCCCTGCCTCCCCTTCTTCGACGACACCGAACAAGTCCCCTTTCTCATCATCGTCACCAAGCGTCCACGGCTTGTACCCCTCCGCCGTCTCCCATTCCTCATTCCCTTCTCTTACCCCGCCCTCCTTGGCCACAAACCCCCGATCGATGCCGTAAAAAATATCCCCTTCACCCTCCGTCACAATACCCTTTTCCCACAGATCCCCGCTCTTAACGTCGGCCCCGGCGGCGGCCACCTCCGACCCGCCCTCTGCGGCATCAGCGATCCCGGCAAGGTCGCCCTCCTCCTCCCCGAATACGGAGCCGACCTCGTCGGACTGCGGCGTAAACTTCCAGTCGCCATCGTCATCGTCACCTCGATTGCTCGAGAATGACCTCAGAGACGGAAAGAAAGTGGAATTGGGATCGGAGGGAGGGAGAGCGAGACGAGTAAGAGTACCAAGAAAGGTGGGCGGAGGCCGGAGAGGAGGGGGAGAGGACGGGGCGCGGCGGACATGGGAGGAAGCTACGGTGGTTAGGGCTACGAAGCGGAAGGGGCCGCGATGGGAAACGAATCGGGCCAGCATCCTTAGCGAGCTGTAGCGGTCATACCTTCGTCACCAGCAAGCACGGAGCGCTGAGAAGGAAGAGAGAGGGAGTAGTCGGCCGGTTAGGGTTTAACGGTTCTCGTCAGCTTCACATTTTGACAGGCTTCTATCGAGCCGTTCTACAGCCCATCAAAGTTAGGTCCAAATGCTCCTTATGGCCCATCAAGCTCTTTCTCTTGCTCCTGTTTCTTAAGCTATTAATACCTTAATTAATCCAATTAAAGAAACCCCTAATTATTACCAAATATGTATATACAAATGCGTGATTATATATTTAATATCTGCAATCATCGTGGATTATTTGCGTTGGAAATGAATTGGTAATCTTTATAACGCCCGCTTTTATGTACACTAAATCATAGTCCATAAAGCTATTGTTTGGACCGCCCCAATCAGCCGTCCACGTATTTGAATGTGGATCGCGGCAGCCTCCTTGAAACATAACGTTCGTATTCCCCGTTTCGAAGTCGTCGCCACGTGACAGCGCCCACAGGCGTCAGTGGAACATCGCACACCTTTTTCCCTCGTTAAATCCACCCCCCTTCGCCGTCTCGCTTCACCACCAAAAGCCCCAAATCCCTCGGCAATGGCTTCTCTAGCGAAAGCAGCGAAGCTCGTCGTTTTCCCCTTACTCCTACTCCACCTTCTCTCCTTGTCCGCGGCCCTCTCCGTCGGCGTCAACTACGGTGCCTTCGCGGACAATCTCCCGCCGCCGGCTCAAGTCGCCGCCTTCCTCAAGGACCGCACCTTCGTCGACCGTGTGAAGCTCTTCGACGCCAACCCGGACATCATTCGTGCCTTCGCTGGCACCGGAATCTCCCTCATGATCACGGTCCCCAACGGGGACATCCCCTCCCTCGCCTCCCGTCGCTCCTCTGCCCCATCCCCTGCTGCCTCCGCCTGGGTTGCCATAAACGTCGCCCCCTTCTACCCTGCGACCAACATCTCCCTCATCGCCGTCGGAAACGAGGTTCTCGCCACCTCCGACCGCAACCTCATCGCCCATCTCGTCCCCGCTATGCGCTCCCTCTCCGCGGCACTTGCCGCATCCGGCTTCCCCCAGATCAGGGTCTCCACCCCCCACTCCCTCGGTATCCTCTCTGCATCCGAGCCGCCCTCCACCGGCCGCTTCCGCCCCGGCTACGACCGCGTCATCTTCGCCCCGATGCTTGACTTCCACCGCCGGACGCGCACCCCGTTCGTGGTGAACCCCTACCCCTACTTCGGCTACACAGCGCGCACTCTCGACTACGCCCTCTTCCGCCCCAACCCGGGGGTGTTCGACCCGGCCACGGGGGTGAACTACACCAACATGTTCGTGGCGCAGCTGGACGCGGTGCAAGCGGCGATGCAGCGACTGGGGTACGGAGACGTAGAGATCGCCGTGGGGGAGACGGGGTGGCCGTCGGCCGGGGACCCGGGCCAGCTCGGTGTGAGCGTGGAGGACGCGGTCTCCTACAACGCCAACCTGATACGTCTGGTGAACTCTGGGAAGGGAACGCCGATGATGCCGGGCCGGCGGTTCGAGACGTACGTGTTCGCGCTGTTCAACGAGAACCTGAAGCCCGGGCCGACTGCGGAGCGGCACTTTGGGCTCTTCAACGCCGACCTCTCCCCGTCCTACGACGTCGGCCTTATGCGCGACAGCGACAATGTGAGTCCTGTCCTCCTCTTTACTTTTACTTCAAAATTGCGTATATTATACTTATACACGTATTCGTATTTATCCTTCTAAATTTAAATTTATCATAAACATCCGTTCAATTTTACGGTGATAATGTTATTAATGATATCTTAAATATTTGATTCAAACCAATCGACACTAAACACTGTTTTTTGGGGGAGTATACGTATTATATTGAGGGTAAATACGTCATTCTAAAAAAGTTACTATACCAAAGGGTCGGACGGTCATGCTAGATAACATGGTTGGGGCAGCCATGCTAGAAATGAGTTTTGCTTCCGTTCGATACTCGAGTGACGGTGGTATTCTGCAGGCGCCGGCGCCCTCGGGTGATTCCTGGAGGTGGTGCGTGGCAACGGCGGACGCGAGCCTAGCGGAGCTGCAGAACAACATCGACTACGCGTGCGGCAGCGGCGGGGCGGATTGCGGGGCCATACAGAACGGCGGCGCGTGCTTCGACCCCAACACGCTCTTGGCCCACGCCTCTTATGCCATGAACGCCTACTACCAGGCCGCCGGCCGCCATGACTTCAACTGCTACTTTGGCGGCAGCGGCGTCCTCACCTCGACCGACCCAAGTAAGTGGACGCATGCGTTTTATCTGATCTCACGCTTTCCCTCTCTGTTCTTCCTGATTCCTGCAGCGCTGATCATTCTTTGACTGTGGCAGGTTACGGGAACTGCAGATATCAGACGTGAGTTGCTGAAGCGTTGTTGCTCTTAAATAGGGAGTATCCTTCCGTAAGACTTAGAGATGATGTCGATCATACTTACCTTTAAGTATGTATGATTTCCGGATACGGTAGCAGTGTTGTATTCGGTGCTTTATGTTATGTGAAGTAGCTGTCTTTTCCCAATACAAAAAATTCTTTTTCCTGTTTGTTTTCTTCTCAATCTAATTTTCTTAAAGAGTAAAAAAACATTTTGATTGTCTTCGTCGAGCTCTAAGTGGTTGCATCGGTCATAAGAAATCCTTTGCCCAATTATGGTTCATCCTATACATTAATGCTTATATTTTGGATCGATGTATCTTGTAGCTATATAGATATATCATGCTCGATATATCTTATAATAATATTTTATCCGATACATAAATTTATAATAATTAATATTATTACAATAAATATATTAAATATTAATATAGTGATGATATATTATACTTTCTTACCAAATATTAAAGGTCAAAGTATCATCTAATATATTTTTTAAAAGAAATTAAAGATGTTTACTAGCTTAGTTGCTAAAAATGTTAACTGTATCTTGATCTTAAATAATAATTATAATATTGCTATAATAATAATAATAATAGAATGATCGTGGAGAGCTGTGTTCATCCAACCCACAGATGTACGATCCGATGGGCTCCTCCTGTATTACAAGTGCCTGGATCTTATTATATTGCCCTCGACGGCGTGTAATCGATGTCCCGAGAACCCAATCACCACGCAGGACTCGCACCGTCAGCTCGCCGGCAGCTGTGCACGACGGCACGTATGTGGGTCCTGTCCCGGAAGCTTTATCTACGTGTCTAGATATCTATTCCATGATAAATCTATTCGCTGTGTCAAGGGGAAACAGCAGATCGTTGATCCTTATGATTCGACGGGCGGGATCGATCGCGGACACCCATCGGAGCCAATGGCACGTTCGAGATTCGTGCCAATGCATCCCCTTGTTTCCATCGCCTCTCGTCTCAGTCGCCGTATATATGAGTGCCCAGACCTCCGCATCCTCTAATTCGACCAAGCCAAGGGAAAGGGCTTTTGGATTTGAGCATCGTCGCCTACCTCCTCAGACATGGCCAGGAAGTTCTTCGTCGGCGGCAACTGGAAATGCGTAATCCTCGCATTTACCCTTTTCTTCCTTTTTCTAGATCGCGCTTGGTACTTTGCCCTACTGCCACTTTTGCAGATCTTAATAGCCTGGCTGGTGAAATTTGCGGTCTTGGCCAGTCCTTGTTGCTGGAAATCTCTCCGATTTACTCGTCTTTCATCGATCGTCAGCTTTAAGTTATCCGATCCCATCGATCGGCATGATTTGTTGCTGTTTCCTCTCGTTCTTCTCTGATTCATATTAATCTTATTCGTTTCCACTAATTTTAACTAATTAGAGTCGATCTTCTTGATATACTGGATTCGGACACCTCTGTTTCCTTTTTTATGTCTCCACTCCATGTTCTCTAGTCCTCTTTGATTTTGATTGCCTACTAAATATGGGAAAAAATATAAGATCATGGAACTCTGATGCTAAATGTGTTTTTATTTGGGCCGTATTCGCAGAATGGGACCAGCGAGGAGGTCAAGAAAATTGTCAGCATCCTGAACGATGGCAAAGTTGCATCGGCTGATGTTGTCGGTATGGTTGTGAACCCTATGATCTTGATCGAATATTTAGGGATATGTTTTGGAAATATTCACATACTGTTTGTTCTATTTGTCACAAATGAAATCCTATGCATTTGCTTGTCAGATCTACTTGAGCTTTCTTTTTTCTTTCAATGTTTCCTCATATATTTTTGTCTTTTATATCGTCGGTATTAACTGCTAAGATCCTTAGGTAAGATTCCAGGTCATTGCTGCTTGATTAGTGAGATGTTAGATGAGTGGTTGGTAACCAACAATTTTGTTTGGTTTGGTGTGAAACTTAGTCAGTGCGTTATTCAGATGGTTTCTGAACATTAATTTCTATTCCATCCCCTCTGGCATCTGATTCACAAATTTCAGTTTTAACGAGACTAGATTCTCAAGAAATTCATGATGATTTAGCGATCGTCAATTTTATTTGACTGAGAGATAGAATTATATCTTCGCCTTTGAAACCTTTAGTTCTTGATACTCATTGGTGTTATCCGCTGAGTTGCTTTTCCAGTTCCTCACATGTTCTGCAAAACTGTCTTGTGGAATTAGAATGTGTATGCTGTCATTTACATGTTGTATCTATTTATAACTGTTAGATAGGCTAGTTGTCGATGTGCAACCACTGTAAACGCATTAAATTATATGTATTATTATCTCTGCAGATGTGGTGGTTAGCCCTTCATTTGTTTTTCTTCCGCTCGTAAAAAGCTCGTTGCGCCCTGAATTCCATGTCGCAGCACAAAATTGTTGGGTTAAGAAAGGAGGTGCTTACACTGGTGAGATTAGGTATGATTTTTGTCCCTAGATGAATTTGAACTTGTTCATGCTCTCTGTTCAAATAAGAACAACTTTTTCTCTTATTTATATTTTTATCATTGGATCACATTTTATGGGCCTTTTTTCATCAAATTCTTACTATGTTATGAACTTTTGATTTTTAAGGTTTCTATTTTTGGTTCATTCTGTAGTATATTTTTAGGTTTTTCAACTTTGATGGTGTTTTTATTTGAATGGCCATTTCATTGCCTACTTGCACATCTTTAAGTTATAACAATGTTGTAAAACAATTGGGCACTCCTAATTTGAATATATTTGTTTTTCCTTGTGCAGTGCTGAGATGCTTGTCAACCTTGACATTCCATGGGTCATTCTGGGACACTCTGAACGAAGGCTTTTGTTGAGTGAATCAAATGAGGTAAGTTGCCTATGTGCTAAAAGGCTATATGCAAATCCTAGATGTGCTGCATTAACAATTAGCTAGTAGCTTGCTAAAGTGCCATATATCTTGCTTTCCCGATCTTGTTATGCATGTTCCAAAAAAGACAGCAGTTAGCATCGACATGAAAATTTAGTTGCACATTTTATCACTCGATGAAATCAGTTAAGTGCTGGATTAAGCTTTATGCTAGTTTCTAATCAAATTATTATACTTATAAGATCTTGTTCTCCATAATATTTAAACTATGGATGCCAACGATATAATGCATACTTATAGGAACAAAAGGAAGTTGTATTAGCTTCTGGTATACAATGTAATTTGGTAGAATATGCTAGTATATTTTGGTTAACAACTTGTGATGCAAAATGACCATACACTTTTACCAGCAAGCAACTAGAATTTTATCTCATATATTTTAGCTGTCTTCCCCGTTAATATGCCTATCAAGGAAATTTGCTGAAGTTGTCATCAAATTTGTTAGATATTCAATACCTTCTAATTCACATTTTTTATTTTCTTGGGCAGTTTGTTGGAGATAAAGTTGCATATGCACTGTCTAAAGGCCTGAAGGTGATTGCTTGTGTTGGTGAGACACTTGAGCAGCGTGAGTCAGGAACCACGATGGATGTAGTTGCTGCACAAACAAAAGCTATCGCAGGTACTCTGCATGCCTCGTGTTATTGTCACTTTAACTTGTGGGCTGAGTTTTGTGTACACATCCAGTGTAAAAAGAAAGTGTTGTATCATGTGTTTTTACATCAATTCTGCTGGCATGGGAAGTTTTAAGTAACTGTGTCTCAGTCATATTCCAGTATGGTTTCAAGTTTATTGCTAGGTCATGGCTTAGGTATCAATCACATTGTGACTCTATATAAGAGATGGTTACATTTAACATTTAGGTATGCCACATGTTTAAGTGGTCATCAGTGTCCAGATCTGATGCATGTAACCAGGAAGAGCATGAGCTAGTATTTGTTAATATTGTGGTTGTTTTAGGTCTTTGGTTACTTTAAAGTATACTTTTCTTTATTTTGTGTGAAAAAGGAAAGTTTTATCTGAGTGAATTATGGGCAAATTTAATGCAGTCTCTTGGCACTATGGGATCCTGGGTGTATCAATGTGAATTATGGGCAAATTTAATGCAATCTTATTGTTTTACCCAAGCGTGCCCTTATCTGACTAAATTGCATTCGATCAAATAGGAGCACAGTCAATATATTTTAGTGGAATAAATTCCAAGAATTCAATTCTTCTTTGTCATCTTTGATTTTGTATGATGTTCACAATCTTGAATTTGACACAACAAGCAAATGCTTTAGCTACATAACTTGGATGTCTCATGAGTTACAATTTTGTTCTTCTCCAATGGATGAATTAGAATGTTCATTGACTTAAATAATAATGGTAGTTCAATTTAACCCTTCCTATGTAGAAGAAAATGTGATAATAATAGATTTCAAGTACACAACAAACATCCTAGTGTTGTATATAGCTAGAGAAGTATTTATGGCTTTGCATATCATAAATTAAAGCTGTTGCCCGTTGGTTCAATTGAGCTATGCACCTTCTTGTACTTGTGGAATCATGATATAAACTTTAATAACTGTAAAAAGTTTTAGGGTCATCTGTCATTCTTGGGTGTCATTCTATGTAGTAGGTCTAACTGATTTTGTAGGATGAAACATCTGTACCAAATATTTTTTACTATTAGGTACCCTGTCTAATTGATTTTTTCTCATACAGAACGGATTTCTGACTGGACCAATGTGGTTGTGGCTTATGAGCCAGTTTGGGCAATTGGAACTGGAAAGGTTGCTACCCCAGCTCAGGCCCAGGAGGTATTAGTTCTTTGCACATGTTTCCATGTCAACTCTCGAGTTCTGTGGATATTACTTCATAATGCTTGTGTATGGTTTTGGAAAATATTTACCAAAATATGCCATCATCTGCATCTATATTCACTAAGACTACTGGGACAATGAGGTCTTTACCTTGGAGATCACAGTGATGTCTCATATGCTACTTCAACAGCAGATCTAAAACTCACATTTATTTGTCAAATTTTATGTAAAATTCACAATCATTAGTCAAATTTGTCTTGTCCAAAGTGGCCAAAATAGGTTGGCATGCTATATATGTTATATCAAAAAAAAATTGTTAAAGATTTTCTGCATTTTTGATGCCATAGTAACACAATACAGGCTTGTTGCTAAGTGATTCTGTTTTGAACCTAGCCTATTTATTTGCAAGTTTTTGATCTTCCTATAAGTCTCTAACCTAACAATCTAAACGTGCTTAAAGTTTCCGGCCACCATTTCTCGAATATAATTGGTCACTAAGTTCCTGTAAAATAAAATATGCTGTTCATTTTTATATTTAGCAACATATGATCACCACGTATAATTGAATTTCATAGGGTTAAATTATTCTTTTTCCTAGATATGTAACATCAGGCATCTTTAATGCTCATGCATGGTGCAGCTTAGAAAAAACTTTTTCTCGGTAACACCAAGGACTTCATATGTTGGTCATGCCCACCCATACCTGTTAGTACAGACCGTGGGCACCAAGTTCAGGGGTGTGCCAAAACAGCACTATGGTAACATAAGGCTCACACCAGTGGACATGTTTTCCATGCTGAGCTATGTTAGCTTCACAAGGATGTCTTGTGATACTGATTTTTCCCAAGACATTTCTTTCAGAGTTCATTATGATCCATTTCTGCCACATGTTCCAATGATTCTCAGGTCCACTTGGAATTAAGGAAGTGGCTTCAAACAAACGTGAGTGCTGAAGTTGCAGCGTCAACCAGGATCATATATGGAGGTAAATGTTCATTGTCAACTTGATTTTCCTTTCTCCTCTTGTCTCCATAAGTTCCAGACGACTGTACTTGTATCACTTTGAGTTGCACTGAGCATGGTGAACTGGGAGTAATTCTTTACGTGTTTCTTTTATTTGTGTTTCCTTTTTTTGATGAGACTCGTATGGAGTAACATCTTATATATTACTTGTGAAATTTTTGCTAACATGAGAAATGAAATTCCTGCAGGTTCTGTAAGTGGGGCTAACTGCAAAGAGCTTGCAGCACAGCCTGATGTCGATGGATTTCTTGTAGGAGGTGCTTCTTTGAAGGTATGTGTCTATATTTCCTACATGTCTGTCTAGATTTGCATGTCCTTAAATATATTACATATTCTTGGCTGTCATTAGTCACTATCTGAAACCCACAAGAGTGATAATTTACTTTTCTGGCATGAAGAATGACCACAAAAACATGTCTGGTACCCTTTTCAGAGGGAAAAATTGCTTGGATTTCAACTTGCACTAAGATTGACTTGTTTTTTGGGGGTTGGGTTGACAACCACAATATGAATAACAGTCATCTACTAGTTGGCAACTTCATGATCCTCACACGTTATGAAGATGCTTGCTGTCCCATTGCCTTTGCTAGATGCATGTTTTATCTCTGGCATGTCGCAGACGGTGGCTACATGACATGAGTACTGAAGAGAATGTGCTTTGGAATTTTCTTCAATTAGCAAGTTGACTCTAAATTTGTTGGTTACGTTGGCTATAGATCTCATCTTCTTTCCTTTCTATATTTGTTTATTACAGCCGGAATTCGTGGACATCATCAATGCTGCTACAGTCAAGTCGTCTGCCTGAGGACACACTCCTAACTCTCAAGTCGAGGCTCATGTATTGACCTCTGAATTTTGTGTTGAGAATCCGTGGGTTTTTCTTGTAGTTTCTTTGCTAAGAACCGAGTGAGGGAAGCACCTCAAGGATGAATAAGCCATATTTCAGATTCTGCAACTCTCAAAAATCGGCACAACTTGTTTATTTGCTTTGTGATAATTATCATTTCCAACTAATTGTAAGTTCAGCTTCTCCACCACTTGGGAGACCTGCTCTTTACCACATTTTAGCTGGCAATGCCGACAGCAATAAGATGCTTTCATGACATCTATCTTTCACGTGTGCTAGTGGATCATTAAAATAACTTGCCATGAGAATTACTGTCTTATTATATCTGTTTACATGCAGTAATGGCAAATAGTTTCCTCGTTTAGTTAATTGCATTTTAATTCACAATTAATGTATTATAATATACTCTCCCCTCTTTTTTTCTTTTTTTCTTTCTTCCATTCGTTGCCTTTAGGGATTAGACTTGAAAGTTTAGTTTCTTGCATGCGGGAATTGTAGGGAAATGTGTAGTTTAGGCTTGGAAAGTTTAGTTTCATTACTTTCACAGTATGACGAATCCAAAGACATGTTAGAGACGTCATCACCCCACTTCGTACCCCTTGAGAAGCACATCATCTTCCCCAGCCTGCTTCCTCCTGTTATCCTTCATCTCTTGCATCCTTGTAATAATGGTGCATGCTCTTTGTCCGTCATCTAGAAATCGAGCAAGTCAAAGTGGGGGCTGCCTCCTCCCTCCTCCGCCTCTCTGCAGTAGGGAGGAAGAAAAGCTTCAGCTCCCTCACATGGGGACACAGCTCAACCTCTTACGAAGTCGACCCCCCCTCTTTATTATTGTCTGCCCCCACTTCTATCCAAACGCAGCTTTCCTTCACGACTCTTACGTATATATAGGGCACTTTCATCGGATTTATTGAGGACATTGCATCTGAACGTAATCGGATTTTGTCATCTCGATATCTTTGAGATTATGATTTGCAGACACTTCAACCATGGCCTAATCCTTCATGTCATTCTCGTGAGGTGTTCATGTTCGTTTGAGACCACAGCTTTTGGTCGACACTTACGTGCAATCTCGTGCCGCTGCCGCAAGTTGCAGAGCCCTCTTTTTGACCTCCCTCATTCTTCCCTCGAGCAAACTCCAATTAATGGAGACAGTGATACGACAGAGTTGCCAAACCTTAAGCCTCTCTCCTCTATATATCAATTCCTATCAAGCTTTATATTATCTCGGTGTCATGTCGCAGAGAGTAAACCCACCTCCAGAGCTTTCAAATAAGATTGCAGATCCATTGTAACCGTACTTGTAAAGCTGCTCCTGCCATTATTTACGTGAAGTATTATTGCTTTCTAGACTGGCACAGAGGCTGGAATTGACATCAAAGACGAAAGATCAATCCACGTGGAAAAGTCGTGGACAGTGATTATATATATATCATTTAGTTCAAATATTAATCGAGGAGTATGGAACTAAGAACTTATAAGTTCATGAAATCTCCCTTATGGAACTAAGTGCTTTACGGAGCTTATATGAAAAAGGATAAAATCGTACGAATACATTCATTGTCTAAAGCGGATAATTTCTCGTAAGCCTATGAGCCACACTAATGACCGCATTAATGCTTCGTAAATGATAAATTATACGGGTATGCCCATTGCACAAAATGGATAATTCCTCGTGAGCCTATGGATCATACTAATGATTGACCGATCGAAGGAGGACCCGATGCTTACACTTCGACCAAGCAAACTCGTCCTTGGCTCCCCTTCGGAATAAAACACTAATAAAATTATTTAGTTCCATATTGATTGAGAAATATGAGAACGAAGGACTCCAAGTCCTATATTTAGTTCAAAGTTTATCATTTCTTGCGATCAAATAATCTGTTATAAACAATATTAATGAAAGAGTATATATATATATATATATATATATATATATAGTTTGTGTCGCTATTAATTACGACTCTCCAATCCATGACTCTGAAGTCAACCTTCGTGACGGACTTAATAAAAAGCAACACAGAACACCAAAAGCGCAAAAAGAAGCACCTATCACTCTCTCTCTTCCTCTTTCTCTCTTCTTTTTATGCGCCCTCTCCACTCGTCACTCGATTCAAGCTCGCTCCTCTTCGCCGCTGAATCCCAGCTTTCATTTGGAGCTCCGCAACTGGAGATCCGCTCTTGGTGAGCAAGCCGAATCGCTGTTAACCTCGGCTTCCTGCTGCATTACTGCGCCAAAAGGCTGCTTCCTTGCCGGATCCGGTGGTTCTTGCCTCACAGATTTGGCCGCGGAGAACCCTATCTTTCGGGGGTTGCCAGTAGATTGAAGGCCGTGGCTGTCGTCACGCTTGGGTTGTTCTCCGATGGGTAATTGCTGGGGCGCTAAGGTCAAGGCGGAGAACCCCTCCCACGACGTCTTCGCTTCAGGTACTAAAGGTTCCATCTTGTTTTATGCAGCTTCTGAGTTCGATCATAGCTTATAACCTTGGGACGTTTTCCATAGAAATTGAATGGTTTTTTAGTGGATTAAGTGAAAAAAGTTGCAATATTTAACTGTCTTCTCTGAGGGATTACTAATGATAGTATGGTAGATTAGGGAATCCACCGTTCTCTTGTCGATGAATCACTTTTGGTCGTCGTTCGGAGGCGGACGGAGGAGCCTACCTGACCCCTTTCCGTCGTCCATTAATGCCTAGTGTTAAACCTTCTAAGAAGAGGTGTCAGATGTGCTACCGCGCAGGTGATGAGTAGTGGCACGATGAATGATCCTGGCACCAAGGAGACATGCAGATGCAGGTATGTCATCCATTAATTAATGTGGACCAGTAATATGGGGCATTTATCTGATGTCATGTTAACACGGCAGTGACATATCACAATTTCCTATTACCACATCAGAGATCCCACCTTGTCATCCCTGAAGGGAGTAAGTTGTTCTGAATCTGTTCTTAGAGATCATTAAATTTCTAATTTTGGAAATAATTTAGGGCAAACAACATTTCAGTTTGTCATTGGAGGGGTAGGAAGAGGTATCGATTTGATGGATCGGCATATCGATCAACTCAATAAGAGTTGTTTTACTGCCTTATATATACACACATATATATAGTGTTGGAAGAGTGAATTTTGTGTTTCTCTTGGAATTATTCCCGTGTAAGTCTTCTTTTGTGGAAATTGCCTATTAGCAGTTATTCCTTTCAAACATAGGCTCAATTTTGCTAATTTATCTGGTAAAGTATGCCGCTCGTATTTTTTGTTCCACAATGTTAAGTAAGGTGATGAATTGTGCTAAGTTGTATTACTTGATTCAATTGATTGGCTAATGCAAGAGTTTACGATGAAAGCATTGTCTGTGGCTTTTTCTTTTGAGTCTGATTTACTAGTAGACACTGTATTTGAATGCCTAGGAGAGGACTCTCCACATGGGAGCAGGAAGGGAAACGTTTTAAGCAGTTCCAGCAGCAGGGTGTCTGCGTCCTCCGTGCCGCCGACTCCACGGAGTGAGGGTGAGATCTTGACGTCATCCAATCTGAAGAGCTTCACCTTCAATGAACTCAGAACTGCCACCAGGAATTTCCGGCCAGACAGTGTGTTGGGAGAGGGAGGCTTTGGTTCAGTCTTCAAGGGATGGATCAATGAGCACACGTTGGCAGCAGCTAAGCCTGGGACTGGAATGGTTATCGCTGTGAAGAAACTCAACCAGGAAGGTTTCCAGGGTCACAAAGAATGGTTGGTGAGTATTGATTCCTGCAAAATCTTTGCTCTCTTTTGTTCTCTGATTTCTTAGTGTTGAGATCCACCTCATGTATGAATGATATGTATATCGAGCTGGTAACTTAGATTTCAAATTCTATTCTGTAGCTTACCAGATACATGTAGTCTCAATAGCATCTTCTTTAAATCTTGTAGGCGGAGGTTAATTACTTGAGTCAGCTGTCTCATCCTAACCTTGTAAAGCTTATTGGGTACTGCTTGGAGGATGAACAAAGACTTCTTGTGTATGAATTCATGTCTCGGGGAAGCTTGGAGAATCATCTCTTCAGGAGTATGTTCTTCATGGACTGTATCTGATATTATACCGGATGTGTTCTTCACGTTTTACTTGAAGGAATTGTTTTCTAAGAGATTGCTACTGTTTGCTGTTACTCTACTTCAATCTGTATGAATCTCAGTTTGTATGCTCTTATGGTGATGCAGGGAGTTCATACTATCAGCCACTCTCCTGGAACCTCCGCATGAAGGTTGCTCTGGGAGCTGCAAAAGGACTTGCTTTTCTGCATAGCAGCAAGGCGAAAGTCATTTATCGTGATTTCAAAACCTCCAATGTGCTTCTTGATTCAGTATGTAGTCATCTAGGTTTTCAACATTGAAATGGACGTTCATTCAACTTTCAGAATTGATGTTTCCGATTTATGTACAGAATTATAATGCAAAGCTTTCTGATTTTGGATTGGCGAAAGATGGTCCTACCGGTGATAAAAGCCATGTTTCTACAAGGGTCATGGGGACATATGGATATGCTGCTCCTGAGTATCTTGCAACAGGTAATTTTGTTGCATCTTTATTATTGCAAATGCTGAATGTGTCTTCTTCACAGCCTGGAATACTTTTGCTTGTCATCTGATTTGTAATTCACAAAAACCCCTCATCTGTTTAGTCATTTAAGTCACATAAAATTTGCAATTTCCTCATGAACACATGAGTTGGTCAGGTGTCTATTAAACTAATTATATCGTTTATCATTTTACTTACCATTAGTTTATCTTGATCCAACTCGGCCTCTCATGGCTTTTAGTATATCTATTTAGAATGCTTCACTTTTAAATAGGATCAATTATGCAATCTGCACATAAGGTGATGGTTAAAACTATTGCCACAAAAGCAATAGCACATATCATCTCAAACAATACTTTGCTTACTACTTGGTTTGTGTGAAATATCAACAAGTAATGTTGGAGATGGCCGGCCTTGTAGCTTATATAGTGATTAGGCATCTTGTTTCATCCTTTATTTGCCATTCCGATTACTACTATATCGGTGATTTACATGAGATTAGAGCCTTGGAGTTATTTAAGCTAAATATTAGTCAAGTCAATGAGGAAATAAAGATATTATTTAAGGGTGCCTCCGAGTAGTCATTACGTGTAACTTTGGGTAAACTATTTCTCTCTCATCTTTATAGATTGTAATCTTCTACACATTACATGGAGAAGGTAGGTTTGGTGAGCATACATTCTTAATGAAAGTGATGCTTGAGACATGTGCTGACTTGTTGATTTGCATCATAAACTTTCAAAGGACATTTGACTGCCAAGAGTGATGTCTATAGCTTTGGAGTTGTTCTTCTCGAGATATTGACTGGCCGACGTGCCATCGACAAGAACCGCCCCACCGGAGAGTACAAATTGGTGGAGTGGGCGAAGCCTCATCTTGCGAGCAAGAGGAAGATCATCAGCATCCTGGATTCCAGATTGAGAGCACAGTACTCACTGGCAGGAGCCCAGAAAATAGCCGGTCTCGCAGACAGGTGCCTGTCCTTGGAAACAAAGCACAGGCCAACCATGGATCAAGTGGTAGTGGCATTGGAGCAGCTTCAGCATGGCAAGGATGCCGAGAGAAACCCCAAGACCGAACAGAACTCAAGTGGCCAACGGCCCGCCATGCCTCGTTGGAGAAGCTGGGAAGATGTAGGGAATAGAAAGATTGCTCATCCAAGGCCATCGGCTTCCTCGCTTCCTACTTAGGGGATAGAAAGAACACAAAGGCGTAATCTTGTATCTTGCAAGTTCTCTTTCAGTATCATCTGTTCTTCATAGATGCTCTTGATATCGCTCATGTTTTCGGTGTATAAATTCCAATAGCTTTAATGATACATGCATTGAATTTGACTCGATTCGTGTTCATAAGATTTGACATAATTAACTGTAATCTAATTTAATATAGAATCAAAATTTAAAATATTAGTGAGATTTTATTAAATGAATCTTTAAACAAAATATTATTTTTGTTTCGTTTGAGATAAGAAATTATGGATGAGTTAATAATTTCGATGCAAAGCGGATAATCCACTTTGTATGTTTTCCTAATGTCTTGAGTAAAGTAAAAAAAAAAAAGGTTATTATAATTTCTTTGTGTGGGGTAATTTTTTAATTTCATCTTTTATATATTTTATGGGAGACCAAAATAAGATCATTTTCACAGATTAATTGGACATATTATTTTGGACAAAACTAACAGATATTATTATATGTATATTTATATATTCGATGATTGGCCGCGCAAAGCTGAAAGAGAAATATCCAATGAGAGACACACATCCACTCACGCTTGCGATCGTCTTGTGGTGGTGCGTCGAGAGACGTGGCTTCTTAAATGGTGGCCACAACGCAGCGTCTGCGGCCGCGATTACACCGCGCTGCCCGCTGCCTCCACGCGCGGAGGCGCCAGCGGGCCTCATGCCCCTGTCCTCCTCCTCGTCCTCCTCCTCCGCAGCGGCAGCCGTCCCCGCCTTCCACGTCCTCCGCGCCCGCCCCCTTTCCGCGCACGACCGGCTCCGGCCGCGGCCGCGCGGCGGCGGCCGAAGGTCGTTCTCCCCGGTACTCGCGGTCGCGGCGGATGCCCCCTCCTGCCTCTACGTCGGCCCTATCGAGACCGCCAGTAAGGAGATGCTGGAGGCCCTCTATCAGCAGGTAAAAGCATTCTTGTTGTGATGTCCATCCTGCAAGAGGCAAATAACACACTGGACTATTCGAGGATAACAATGAAGAGATTCTGCAATCTTCAAACGTGCTAGATGTTAAATAAAGAAGAACAAGAACTGATGTGCATATTTGGAACTCCCTTTTCTTTAAATGTGTTTGCAAAATTTACTAACATGCAGTACTATAAATCTTGAAGTCTATATAGGATTCAGATTCAGCTCTACAGATCAGGGAGATCAGTAATTTGCAACATGAGCTTCATTGTTTTTGGAATAAACCACATAAAGCTTCTAATTACCTTCATCCTCCAAAATGGTTCGATAATTTTCTGCCTCATAATACATTTAAGTAAGTTTGGTCATATCATCATTCTTTTGCTAATTATTTTTGTCATCCATTTTTAGTTGGAGTTCATTAATTGATAGGTTTCTGCAAGTAGATGAACTTTAGTTTTATGATTTTCTTTGGCTTTTCTTTTGTACCAGGAAGCATGAAATTCAATTAATTTGCCTATGAGATGAATTGAACTACTTTTTCTTGTTGCAGTCACTTTAAGTCATAATCTGGAGCTCTGTTTTTATTTTGATCGAAAGAAATGAAACATTGGGCAAAGCGTTATTTATGGTTATGTCCATTATTTATGATCTTTGGAAGTTCTCCTCAGAATTAGGAAGTTTGGATGTGTAAATTCATCTACTTGTTCATCTTGCTTTTATGTTGTAGGCACGAGATTCATATTACAATGGTAAACCTTTGATTGTTGATGCGATGTTTGATAAAATTGAGGTATAATCAAGTGGCTGTCTTTCCTTCATGTCCATTTTCACTATCTTTTGCTTAACGTTTGTATTTTCTATAACAGTTGAAGTTGCGGCTGTATGGTTCAAAATCTGTTGTTAAGTATCCTCGATGTAGCCTCAGGCGACAATCAACCTATGCAGATGCTGAGGTAAATTCTTGTTAGCCTGTGTCCTTTTCCCTCTCTATTTTCTGGTTCATGGAAACTTCCTTTTACTTGGTTGAGGTTTTGATTTGACTTGTGTTTAGGGCAGGAAGATCCTTCACAAGCTTTTGCTTTAGCAAGTGTTTGGTTGGTGCTACTCGCATTTGGATCATCAGCAATTCTCGTGCCTGTCATTTGTATCATCACTCTGGCTTTTGCTGATGCGATTAACTCAAGATATTACTTATACAGTGAAATATCGACATTTGGATCGCTTATGATGGTTAACAAAACTCTAATATTGGGACTGGGACATCTGGTTGGTTATCCTCTTGCATTTGCTTCAAGTAAGTTGCAAAAAAGTTTAAAATTATGCGATGTATAGATTAAAATTATGCGATGTTGCAAAAAAGTTTCTGCAATCATCATAAGTTAATTTTACAGAAATTTCCAAATACGAACATTGTTGTACATGCTAGAGGGTGGAGATGGGTGCTGATAGGGATGGGAGACAATCCTACTTATGGTGAAAAATGCAATACGTAAAACAGCATATTGCAGACAACATGGTGCACCTCAACCTGAAAAAAAAAAAAATCCAAAGTTACATATATTAGGTAGTATTAAGTTGATGCATGTTTCACGGTCAAAGTTCAAGCATAGATCGTAATGCAGAGTGCAAAGTTGTGTAGCATACCTGTTAAAACCTTTTTGTTTGATTGTGTTATAAACTTTTGATTATGTAACCTGTCCTCCAATAACATTTCTCTTATCTATAATATTGTGTTTATAATTATATAATGCTTATATTTATAGGTGTTAAAGAAATTGTCTAGTATTTGTTGATTAAGTGAGAAAAATGAAATTGAAATCGGATGGACGAGGTTATGTAAATTTAGGATTCATTTGTTAACCTACTGTATCTCGACAGAATGAACACACTAGCCAGTGTTTGTCAAAAACCAAATTGTTCTTTGTGGCTTTATTAGCTTGTTTGGAAAGCATGTAATGATGAATCAAAATCCATCAGCATTAGAGTGTTCATTGCTCGAATGCTTTCTTATGTGTCATGCATATTAGTAGGTCAGTCATCATTGTCTTTGTACTTTCTAGATGATTTAAGTTTATTAAATTCCCAGCTTTCTTTGTTTAATGTTTGGGAGGCTACTAGTTAAATCTGGTTCTTTATTTTAGTCCAAGCATTGCAAGGTCTTTGGAGGAATGAACTGGTTGCAATGAAAGGCTCATGCCCCAACTGTGGGGAGGAGGTCGGGGTCTATTAAATCATTTGCTTAGTCTATGAATACATAATCTCTGCTAGCTTGAAAAACTATGTAATGCTATAATCCATCTTATTGCTCTGCAGGTCTTTACTTTTGTTAGGGCAGAAAACTCGACCGGACATCCTCACCGTGCAGCTTGTCATGTATGCGAGTGCTCCTTGGAGTTTCAAACAAAGGTGGAGGTATGTAGTTTCCCTTTGTATCATATGAATGGGTGCTTCTAAACTGAAAATGCACTTGTTGGCACTCTCTATTCTCATTGTTACTGTATTAATTTCTTGTTGCCATCATATGAATCATCATGTGAGGTGTTATGTAATCATGCATTAACCCTCCCGAAATGTGTGAGATGCATATCCTTTTGTGGGTTTACTTATTCCTGTCCATGTTTTTGAATGTAGAAACTGAATGTCAACTTGAGAGTTAAACAATCATAATGATCAGTATGATATACCATAATGAAATCGGAAATTAATCTCCCTTGTTTTGAAGGCATTTTTTTTTCTTGAGATTTCACAATCATATAAAATTAAAATATAGTTATTGTCAGTGATTGCAAAAGGCGCTCGGGCG